TTTCTTATTTACATTGGTATACTGATCCATGTTAATTAAACCTTACACACCATGAAAAGCACCCTGTCATATATTACATACAACAGTTAAGAACTGAACGCAAAGAACTGCTTTAATTAATATGGTATGGCCAGAAGACCACAGCAATGTATCAGTCGTATTCAGTTTTTATCTTCCTTTAGATAACTGATATAGTATTATTACGCACTTCTTGTCTTTAAATTACATTCTTTGTTTCTAAAGCTATCACATCCTTGATCCATCTATCCACTAATACACAAAAGTGAATTGCTTTGACCTCGTTTAGTTCTTTTAGAGATAAGCTGAATATTCCAACCTTGAGGCTAGCAAGCGTCTGAGTTCGAATGTAATTGGACGGCCTTGAGGACAGAAAGAATGAAAAAAATTGATCTACACGATTTAAACGCACAAAGAATAAGAAAAATACAATTGTCTAAACTAAGGCATTAGAAAAGAAAAAATGGAATATAAAGGTTATATTTAAGCTACAGAACTTTTGGAACAGAAAAGAGTGTGAAAGTTATTTACACGTTAAACGAAAGTCTATGATACATAGAACAAACCAGGAACAAAAGTAAAGGTTGGTATTTTACGGACTTTGAATCAAGTGAAACAGTGTCCAAAAAAATAGCTCCCGTCGCCTATTGTTGCTTTTTTATTTATCCTTTCACATCAAAAGTATATTCTGTATACATAGAAAACTGTGAAGATTGTTGGATCTTCGGGTTTTACATTATGGATTGACCTTAGTTAGACGACCATTGTAAAAAACAAGCAATGGACAGCCATTTTGTCCTGGTATGGGAATCTTCAGCAGTGTACCTCCACGACTTCATCTGAAGTTCAAGAGGAGAGTCCTCAACCTTCAAACCAATGAACTAGGATCCATTGTTACACATTTCCAACTTAAATCAACTCAAAAGTTTTCATGACTATTACGCAACTTCATTTGTTTCATTACCAACATGGTTTAATCCCACCAGTCATAGATGAGGTTGTGTATGAGTACACATAAAGAGCTCTATACAAAGAAAAAACAATTATCCAATTCTTTCTGCTTCTCAATAGTTGTCTAAGGTAAATCAGTGATGTAATTTGCAGTCATTATATCAATTTGGAATATTTCAAAGTAGACCAATCCATAGTTTTGTCAGGTACTATGTTGTCATTCTGATTAATAAAATAATTTGATCTGATAGTTAAGTTAGGCATTAGTAACATGTAGAAATTATGCGTAATGGTTGAACGAATGCATTTTGATTATCCTTCACATTTTACATGAACTATCACGTACGTCATCGTAAGTTGTACACAACCTTAGAAGATAAATAAGTATATTTTTTTAGTGTAATTGAATTATGCATGAGAACCACAACCGGTTGTCAAGGTCTTTTCTCAGCTTTCATAAAACTAACTTCCAAATATCCATAAATTAAGAATACGCTCTTGAACAGGCTGAAGGTATTTCTGTTAACTAGAAGAAAATTTATTAAAATATCATACTACTGTTATCTACAACTAAAACAGGTTGATCTATATTTAATTATTCACTGAATAGTAACCGAAACAATTTTTATCTCCATTCATTTAGTATTGTTTTTTTGAATCTTTCCATCGATACGTTAGGACTGCAACTGGTCAGTCTCTAATTGGCATATGTGCATGCTGTGCGTATTGTCTCGATATAGCCTTAATTCACAAGCATGGTAAGCAGAGATGGATTGTGGCTAGCAGTGGAATCCAGGACGCGCGTTTCGTCCTATTTGGGACTCGTCAGCTGGATGTACCTGCATTTCAGAGTTGCAGGTACATCCAGCTGACGAGTCCCAAATAGGACGAAACGCGCGTCCTGGATTCCACTGCTAGCCACAATCCATCTCTGCTTACAATGTTTATCTACCCCTAAATAATGAACAAATTCCATTAAGGAAGTTGGCACCGTTATTACACTAGTTTAAGGTGACTCGATATAATGGTACAATGTAATAAATATAAAGAATCAAATGATGACTGAACAATCACCATTTATATTATCTTTATTTTTATATATTAATTTGACTGAACAAGCATTTGTTTTATTCATATCAGGGTATGTAATTATATTTGTCAATACCCTCATATCATTTATAAAATTATACAGAAGTTAGATTGTGTTCTAAATAACACAAAGCTTAGCATACTGCCTAACATCTTTCTAAAAATTATATATATATATATATATATATATATATATATATATCAGTCACAACGTAGAACTTAGTACGTACGTACACCACTACGAGTTGTCATACCACATTAGCACAGAGATACAAGTGTCGACTCAAATCCCATAGTGGTAGAAGTAGTAAGAGTATAAGCATTAATGTGAAAGATTAGGGTTTGAAGATGTTATTGAAGGAGCATAATCCAGTGAAATAAATTTGAAAACGGAAAACAGATAGAGACATGAAGAACTCAGAAGATTACTATTTGGTAGAACACAAAGAGTGGATGCACCTTCGTTATTGAAAACGATTTGGAGCCATGTCATTCAAGGTCTCTAACCATCGATTGCTATCATCTCGCGAATCCCAACCAGGTAGTCTACACCTACCAACATGGCTCAGTCCACTTGCCAGTGACTTCATGGATTTATGCCATGTTTTGGTCTGTCTACCCCTAGCTATCTTCCAACCTACTCCTACACCATGAAGCATTGCACGTCGGGACAGTCGGTGGTTGGGCATACGTAACACGTGTCCCAGCATCTCCACTGATTAAGTTTCACTACTTCATCAATCAATTTGCCATCCTTACCTAGTACTCGTTTCCTAACATCTGCATTACTTACCCGGTGGTCCCAGGATATACGAGCAATGCGTCGAAGACACCTATGATCGAATACTAGTAGCCTACGAATATCCTCTACTCTTATCGGCCATGTTTCACTGCCATAAAGTAGGACGGAACGAACTGCTGCACAGTAAACCCGTCCTTTGGTTGCTAGACGGATATCTCGCCTACGCCATAAATGACGCAAGTTGGTGAAAGCTAGACGAGCCTTTTGTATCCGTGCTGAGATTTCGTCACACACCAGACCACAAGGGTTGATGAGACTCCCAAGATAAGTGAAGTGGTCAACACGCTCAACTACTTCACTCCCTACCATTAGTTCAGGTGTCAATGCAACCCAATCCTGAAGTAACATTTTGCACTTCGAAGGAGAAAATCGCATCCCGAACATGCCTGCATTGTCGCTTATAGTGGTCAGAAGACTCCGCATTTTGTCAGCGTCTTAACCAAATAGAGCTATGTCGTCGGTGTATTCTAAGTCAACAAGTGAGCCTCCCGGTAAAATTTCAACTCCTGGAGATTTAAATGATGAGAGTGTTATCTCTAAAAGCATGTCAACGACAAAGTTATATATATACATATACTTTATTTGGACGTATGTAAAAATATCGAGCTAACTTATACCCTCTGTTTCATCTTATGCTTGAGACAATCGTAAGCGTATTATATCACGTCAACTGTCAATGTAATGGTTATAGAACATTTCTTGACTAGTTTTAATGCCCGTTACCGAGATATCACCATACAACAGCATATTGCCCACCACACATAACTAATTAATGTCAATCAGTGATCAAGTGCTAATACGTGTACTCATCTTTGAAAGTAGACATTCAGTGCTTATAGGTTAGTGATTATTAAAGATTGTTGAAAAACTAAAGCATAAAATAGGTTCTATGATGAGTATTGAATTAATACTAAAACTTGTAATAAAACAAAGCTGAAATCAAGAGATAAGTGTTGGGGATGTCAAATCCCCAGAACTGACTTGGTAAATGGCTAAATCTTGTAATTTTATTTTGAAAATTTGAATTTAGCTGTTTTCGCGCCAAAAGCGCTCTTTTACCTTCACGTCATATTTCCCACTTGTAAACTATCTTAAACGCTATTGGTCCATTGTTTCTTTGTGTGTGCTATTTACTAATAATGCTCAAGGACAATTTGTTGCTGTATAAATGCGCCTGACTTTTTCCCTCATTCGATTTGCTTGTACTCGGCTGCTTACGGAATACACATATATTCCCCACTTGCCTTGGACTTCTTCATCTAGTTAGCGGGGCCTGGGACAACAGATTAGAATAGCTTATCGTGTCATTGGTTTTCGTTCGTTACCGCGGAATCGATTAGTGTCAAGCATAACAATAAGTGAGACCACGTATACAAGTGCAGAATTATAATTTGGCTACAAGTGCACGAACATTTTGTCTTTGTGAGATTCGGGATCAATTTCTGGTCGATCTTATAACTCTCTAAATAATTATGTAGTTCCATGTGGATATCATCTACGGTGATACTCAAGTAATTTGAAATTATCATAATTCACTTTTTCCGTCACTGAAATAACATAAAACATGATGGAAAGTAGCTATACCAACTCTATAATTTATTCACTAGACGAAACTTAGCAGCAAAATGAATAAAAGTTCGGTCATTTGATTCAGCCGGCTAAAGTTGAACATTACGTAACCATGTGATCAATTCTGAGCCAATAAAAACAATAGTATCATAATGTTAAGCTGAACACAGTATGTAGCTGTTGTCGTAGGATTTACACAATATAGAATAATCAGGGTAATAAACTTTATCACATCATGCTATGTAATCACACACGATTGACCTACTGAAAATTTGGAGAAAAACTTATCGAATGAGTTTACAGTTTGCACCAAAGATTCATTTTCCAAATACTGATTCCTGTACTTGGTTTTCAGTTGCACCTTAAGTATGAGGGTTTATGAGTAATACTCAATCGCTCAAGAGTAAATAAATGAACAGGGTTCAAACCTGTTTCTCATTGAAGTACATGCTAATCGTGTTGCTCACAACTAAACCATCCAGCTCAGAAAACATAACACCTCAAACACTCCTTATCCTGAGCTACAAATATCCTTTATCATCATAACTAAAAAGTACCCAAAAAAAACGACTGAACAATACCAAAAAATATTTATATTATTTTTGTCTAGGAAGAGAATATTGTGTACACTACTTGGGAAGGCAAAGGGAATAATATATAAACAAAAATAATAACCATTAAAAATCTACACAATTCGCTCATTCATTAATAATAATACAAAAGAAGAAACCTATAAAGAGAATATCACAGTCCGTTGATCGAAAATAGATCATTGTATTGAGACTATAAAATTAATAATAATAATAATAATACTAATAATAGTAATAGTAATAATAGTAACAGTAATAGTAATAATAACAATATAGACTATATAAACATATACACACATATACATAGTGTGCCTTTTTATCAGAATAAAATTTAAAGGAAACAATGAAAAATTACTTATCCCATGAAAATCCAGGTTTATCATATGGTAATGATGGACAACAGGTTATAGGCCATGTACCATGTTCATAACGATATTTTAATTCTGTATTACTAATAAATTTTAATATTGTTAATAATACCATTAATATTGTTAGAAAAGTTAATATACCAGTTGAAAATTGAGTAAAACCACAATGTGTTGGAATATTAGTCTAGAAAAACAAATTGAATGTGATAGATAATATGTGATGATAATTTTTATAAATATATTCTCATAATTATGAATTCAAAAAACGAGTTTTAAATAAAGATGAAAAAAATGTCGGCACATCCTGGTTTTGGATTACTTAACTTACGTCTGTTACCCCTCGTGGAAGAGCATAGGTCACCCATCAGTATTCTCCACTCAACTCTATCCTGGGCTCCTGCCCCCGAATGCCCTGGTACGGCCGAGAGTGGGGAGAGTACACTCTCCCTCTACAAATGCTCTCACATGGCTACGCATATATAGCCTCTGCCACACAAGTCCTAATCATTGCCTTCTCACACCAGGGGTCTTGTTTACGAAATTGGGAAGACGAAAAGCGAATGTCCGGCGCTTTAACCGGGTTGGTGTACACGGAGGGTCCACCTAGTGGAGTTGGGAAACCCTGATCCCGAACCAATGGTGCACATGGGCTCCAGTATCCTGAGGAAGCAAACGGAGTATGAATCAATTGTTGGTCACCGGCTACCATGGGACTGCATCTTCTAAGAAAACAACCTGTTTCGGTTGATGCACCCGGGTAGTGTCACAGCCCTCACACAAATCAAATGAGATTTGTGTGGCGCATATATATCTGGTGCCCTTTTGTACCAATATTTATGTGTTTAATTAATTATTAAATTAAAATCCTGGGCAATCCTTTTCAGTTGATATTCATCCTTTTGATGTCTGCTTCCAATGTTCGATGTAGTGTATCTTTCGGCATTCCTCTTTTCCGTTTCCTTTCATGATTTTAAGTAAGCGCTTGCCTAGTGATGCAGTTTTTTTATTTCCACAATGTATGTCTTATCCACTTGCAGTGCTGATTTTTAATGGGGGGGGTGGCAATAAATTAGTGATTGAAGCATACCATTCTTAATAAGTAAGTAGTCAGTTTAAACGACGCTACAAATAAATTGACTTGGAAAAGTTGAAAGAAAGCTATGTATAGCCAATATAAAAAGTGGCATCAGTTCACTAAGTTATTCACTGTTGAAATGACTCGTGTTAGTAGATGTAAACTATAGGTTGGAACCATAGGTTGGAAAAACATGAGGTAATGCAATTTTGAAAATTAGAATCTTATTAACAGAAAGTGTAAAATTCGACCCAATTGTCTAAAAGAACGAAATTTTGAATTAACCTTGAATTTATTTTTCACCTGTGTGAAATATGAAATAGCGCATGTCATTTCTAATCATTTTAATGAATCTATTGAGTCAACGTGTTAAAATGTCATTCATTATATCACCTTGGGAATCATTTATTAGGTAGGTTTTCTTTTCGAGAGCTCAACGATCAAATCCTTTAAGTATAGACTGTAATTAACCTCACGAAACTGGTTAAACTAAAGAACACACATGGATGAAACCATCATTTGTATCCCGTCTTCGGTTCGCTTCGTCAGTATAAATTTCATTGAGGAAGTTAAATACAATTTAATTGCATTAAAAGTTATTTCAATAGATATGCTGAGTCTATGTGTTACAATTTTATTCTCCACATTACTTTTAAAATTAAGACTTGGGTTTAGAGTTTTCTTTTCGATTGTGGAGATTTATATCTTGTTCATCAATTTCATTACTCATGTGGGGCCAATTACAAAGTTTGCAACTCAAATGCCTTGATCCTTGAGTGCTTACGAAGTTTTACAGGCATGGTTACAAAAAGGAGTCACTAAGTCTATAAATCGCAATTCTTTTCTCTAAAATCGACAATGGATAACAATAACAACATTGAATATAGTTTCTTCGTCCCAAGTAATTTAACAGAAGTTACAAAACTATGCCCACTTCATATAGTTGAAGTAATTGACACAACTCAAAGAAACCTGAGTAGTGTGTACAAGAGAAATATGTTTAACATAATTATTCACCTTGGACCATTTTGTTAGTACACATAATTTTTAAGCAGAATCAGAAACGCTTACCATGCAATACAGATTAAGAAAATAGTGAACTATGATGAAAAGTATAATTATAATCATATGAATAGTTTTGTTACAAATCATTATAATATCTATGAACTAAAAGAGCAACTTACTTTACATATAATTTGCCTCTTACAAACCTCTGAATCCACAGGAGTACATACACCTGGATGAGTAATATTAAATATTCTTTCAGGTAGATCACCTATTTTCCATTGGCATTTAGGATCACCTAATTCTTGACCATTAGTAAATCCATCACCGTCACTATCCAATGGACAGAGTAGACTCCAAGACTTTAATTGTATTTCATTATAAAAAAAGGAGAATATAAAAAAAAACTTCAATCATGAAGGAGAGAGAATTTGACAAATTAACTAAATTTATCTGATTCGATCCATACTGAAAACCAGATAAGGTACTAGTCATCAACAAATAACCAAGTAATATAAGTAAATCAGTTTTCCAAGAGCTCAGTGGTCGCATATCAAAATCACTGATTATAAAAATCGTGTAGACTCCAATCAGGTAGTTTGCACCTGCCAGTATGGCTCAATCTAATAATCAACGACTTCATAGTCTAACGCCACTTCTAGATTTGGCCATCGTTAGATATGATGCCATTCTCCTGATATTCTGTTTATGCTATTGCAATTAATTGGTTGGACGTGACCCAGTTTACCTTAGTCAATAAGACTTTAGAGATAAATTCCTAAATGATGTCACTTCAGTGGTCAGAACTGTAACAACATTCGAATACTTATTTGCCTACCTTACAGTTCGTTGAACCATGTAATATTATTTGTCACAAAACTGTATACTGGTTTAAGGTGAAGTATACAGAATTGTACTTGATTACTCACAGTTACACTAGACGTTTCAACTTGTTAGGAAAAATACAGCGATATTCTATAATTGAAATTCGCCTACTAAAAAGGGAATTTTATTTGGCAATTTGAGAAATGTATACTCTTGTTAACCCTAAAAACATCTAAATTCCAATCTTTGATAAAGTAATCCAGGAAAGCTCTGTAGCTATTACTATGTACATCATTAAAATCTAAAATGATGATACTTAAAGAAAATGAAATCTACTGAAGTTAATTAAGACGAATAGACAAAAAACCCAGATAGTTTACCCGTTTACTTTCGAAATCTGAACCGAATGAATTAAGAGGTCCACCACCATCATAATTCAAGTGACCAATTGACTTTACAAATTTTCCTGGATTACAAGGATCCGGTACATTTTCACTATTAGGTATCTTTAATTTATGTTCAGGTAAACAATGAATGTAATCAACAAATAATAGCCATATAAGAACAATCTGCAACATGCTATATCTATAAGGTGTGAAATATGGATAATTGAAGAAAAATCTCCGTTTTTATCCACCTTCCACTGAATTAAAAGTTTCACCTATAAACATAATGACAAAAAAACATTACTCACCTTTATTAAATGTAAGTTAACAACTCATAAGCACAGAATTGTATTAACATAATAAACAAGCAAAAAGTTATTGAAATTAAAAGCAGAGTATTTCCAAGTCGAATTTACAACACAAGACGTGATATATAAGAACCAGTACAATGTATCTATTCCTTACTTTGCGTGGTATATCTGTTCGAACTCAGGAATGGCATTACGGAAAGTGTTCTTGAAACCAGACAAGCCATCGGTCTATGAAAATACCCGTCCCGTGGTACAGAGACCATCAGTACACTAGTATGCAACCCCCTTTTGGCTTCAGCAATTAATTTTTCAGTTATGTATTGTGGATTCTAACTGAATGACGATGGAGTCGAGGTTCGCAAGATTACATTTAGAGCCACTCAAAATTATCGGTAAGGTATAGTTTTTACCAAAAGTACTAACGGACAATTTAAGGATTTAATCGGAAAACCTTGGGTTGTCAAAGTGATGGACAGAATGCTAATCGTTAGGTTGTCGAAAATAGTAAAAAAGGTCGATTGGTTTGTCCATTTAACCGGACTTCGAACTACGATTGCGAAAAAACGACTAGTAAGATAGGCAGAAACAAAGCATATGGACGAATCAATCAGATTTCAGAAAGAAATATATTCATTTGAATAGCTACGAAGAATTCCTGCATTACAGATGACGTGATTTCCTGACGACATCCCGAATAATTCATCTACAAAGGTTCATTATTTATGTTAATTGACCATAGTTTTATTACTTTTTATTACAAAACGTTTTATAGGAACTGCTTCTTCGCTGGCTTAAAAATAGTTTAAGGCCGTCTACATACGTTACATTCACCTAGAAATAGTTTCCCCATTTAGTAAAATATGCCAAAGAACAAGATATTTAATACAAGCAAACATTCTTAAAAAGTAATAGACAGACGAGAGATTTGAAGATGTGGATATTGTAGGTTGCCTTTTCGTCGTTTCTGACTACGCTCCCACCGACTGCAGCCCAGATGAAGTGAAAGATGACTTTTACTGAAAGCTCTCTGAACTTCTTCAGAAAGCTAGGCGCTCAGACATAGTACTCGTAGCGGGTGACTTTAATGCCCAATTAAGCAGCTTAAATCAAACAGAAAGACATTTAGGTGGGTGTTTTAGTATTCAACGAACCGATAATGGTGATCATCTGTTACAGCTATGCTCAGACAATCGTTTATGTTTAGCAAGCACTAATTTTAAGCATAAGGAGAGACATCGTCTAACATGGCGACAACCTGTACCAAACCAACGATGGACTCAAATAGACCATATTGCCATCAGTCATCGTTGGAGAGGCTCGATAGAAGATTGTCGCTCGTATTGGAATACTTGTTTAGACTCTGATCACGCTTTAATACGAGCACGCATTTGTCTGCGCCTCACTGCACGCAGGAAAACTACACTAAGAAGACCAATTAAGGTTGAACTGGAGGACGAGAAATCCAAATGTAAATTCCAGGAACAACTGAGTTCACATCTAGGCAGTTCCGTAAACGAGGCTGACCCATATGTAGCTTGGAAAGATAAACGAACAACTGTGGAAACGGCAGTCACATCTATTAGTAATTTAAACCATAAGGTTCCAAAAAACCAATGGATTTCTTCTAAGTCTATTTCACTGATGGATTCGCGTAAATTCATCCCATCAGGCTCAGAACACGACGAAGAGCCTAAACAAATCAGATCTAGGTTAACTAAAAGTCTAAGGAACGATCGTGAGCAGTGGTGGGCAGCTAAAGCAAAAGAGATAGAAAAGGCAGCGGTTGTAGGCAACATCAGGCAACTCTTCAGACTAACAAAAGAAACCGGAATTAAGAAGTCAAGTGTAAGTGAGACAATCTCTGAAAAAGACGGAACCCTTATCTGCTCTCAGCCCAAACGTTTAGAACGATGGGCGGAACACTTTAAGAAGCAGTTTAGCTGACCTTCAGCTACTGCACAACTACCGACTATTCCCAGACAGTCTGAATGGAACATTGAAGTAGGCTCCCCGAACCTACTTGAAGTTTAAAAGGCTATAACTAATCTCAAAAGAGGGAGAGCAGCTGGTCCAGATGGATTGGCTCCAGAGGTCTTTAAATATGGTGGTTCAATTTTAGCGACTAGGTTGACTAATATTCTGGCTAAAATCTGGGAGTTGGACGTAATCCCATCCGACTGGTAACAATCACTGATTGTCCCAATATATGAGAAGGATTAAAATGATCTTGTGACAACCATGAACGGATTAATCTGATTAACATAGCATCTAAAATACTTGCCTCAATAATTATTGGGCGCTTGTGAACTGAAAACACGAGAAAATCAGGCTGGCTTCAGACCTGGTCGTGGCTGCATCGACCACATATTCACTATTCGGCAGGTTTTAGAGCACAGACACGCTTATCGGCGTCCGACAATGATAGTTTTTCTTGACTTAAAAGCAGCGTTTGACTCTGTAGACCGAGAGGCTCTGTGGCAGTGTCTGTCATTGAAAGGTGTACCTCAGAAGTACATAAATCTTGTGAAGGCTCTTTACTCAAACATTACCAGTCGAGTCGGAGCTTATGGCGAACTGTCATCTAATTTTACAACCTCAAGTGGTGTCCTACAAGGCTGTTCACTATCCCCATTTTTGTTTAACTTTATCATAGACCTATTGCTGGAAATAACACTCTCGTCGACTGAATTTTCAGAAATTGATCTCCTACCAGGGGGTCCACTTATCGATTAAGAATACGAAGATGACATAGTCCTGTTTGGTGAAGACGCTGACGAAATGCAGAGTCTTCTGTTAGAACTGAGTAATAATGCCAGGATGTTTGGAATGCGTTTCTCCATATCTAAATGTAAGTTGTTACTCTAGGACTGGCCTGCATCAACACCTGAACTATGGATAGGGAGTGAAGTAGTCGAACGCGTGGACAACTTCACTTATCTTGAAAGTCTGATCAGCCCTAATGGGTTGGTGTCTGACGAAATCTCAGTACGGATTCAAAAAGCTCATTTGGCTTTTGCCAACTTACGTCACCTATGGTAAAGACGAGATATCTGTCTATCAATAAAAGAACGTGTATACTGCCCGGTAGTTCATTCTGTCCTACTTTACAGCTGTGAAACGTGGCCACTAAGAGTAGAAGATACTCGCAAGTTACTAGTATCTGACCACAGATGCCTTAGAAATATTGCTCGCATCTGCTGGGACCACCGGGTAAGTAATAGTGAGGTTAGACACAGGGTATTATGGAATGATGGTAAATCAGTTGATGAGGTCATGAATCTTCATCGACTGAGATGGTTAGGCCACGTGTTATGTATGCCTGAACACCGATTACCACGACGCGCTATGCTGATTAGTATTGGGGATGGTTGGACGAAAGTTAGGGGCGGCCAGACCGAAACGTGGCATCAGAGCTTGAAGTCACTAACTTCTAGTCTGAGCCATGTTGGCAGATGCAGACTACTTGATTGGGGTCCGTGTGACTATCGTAACCAATGGTTGGAGACTGTGTGTGATATGGTTCAGAATCGATCACAATGGCGTAGGTGTATACACTCTTTATCTTCCCTTAAACATTGAGATTAAAATTGCATCATAACGTTCTTCCTTCTTATACTATATCCTTATATACAACCTTTCTTTTATATATTACCACCACTAAATTAACTACTATGAATCCGGTGTTCATCTTGTTGTGATTACGAGGTATGGCAACTTGGACCGATGCATATATGTGCCTGGTCCCACGTTGTAGCTGACTGACTGAGGTTGATCATATCTTAATTTTGTTCGTCATACTAATAACCTGATTCAAATAGCACGATTCGCTGCATACATTTTAACAATAATCTGTTTTTAAAAGTATCGATATTTAGCTATTAGAAGTCTTCATATATTCACATCTATTTATAATCACAAACTAATGTAATCCCCGTGGTCGTCAATGTCTAGCACCAGGATTTGGCAATAAACGTTGCCATACTTCACAAGGACAGTAAGAGACAACAGTACTTTATAAAACTAGAAAACAAAAACTAGTAGCGTATATGCTACATCCTAAACTTTAAATCACTGCCTTTTCATTTTAATTGTGTGAGGGCTACGATACTGCCCGGGTGCCCAGACCGAAGCAAGTGGTTTTCTTAGGGAGCCACACCCCAAGCCTAGAGTGTCCCAACGTCATGGAATGATTCGATAGTTGTCCCTATCTTTAAAAACGATTCACTTTTTTCTGCAACAACTAACGGAGGATAAGTCTACTTCCGATTGCGTCCAAACTGTTGGCTTCTATCGTACTTCGTAGGTTGTTCAAAACCCCAGAAAGATTGACTCGCGAGGAGCAGACTGGTTTTTGATATGGTCGAGGTTTGATTGATTATATCTTCACCTTCCTCCAAATGTTAGAACACCGTCATACTTATCACAGGTCAACAATCGTGTTTCTTGATATCAGGGTTGCCTTCGATTAGTCGGACAGGACTGTTCTCTGGGATTGTTTATTGAGGAGGGGTGTGCCTGAGAAGTTTATTAACATCTTAAAGGCCCTATATGCAAACACCTCAGACAGAGTGAGGGCATACAACCACCTTTCTCTTTTGTTCCATTCAAGCAGTGGGGTTAGGCAGGGCTGCCCAATCTCACCATTACTCTTCAACTCTGCCATCGATGACATTCTGGAAACAGCTCCAATGGATGTAAGTAATGGCGGTGCGTATCTGTTGCCTAGAGAAAGACTTCTCGACTTTGAGTATGCGGATGATATTGTCTTACTGTGCGATAATGCTCAAGCCATGCAATCCGCACTTAATCAGTTGGCAATCAGTGTTCGTAGGTACGGTCTCTGCTTTGCACCCTCCAAGTGCTAAGTACTCCTACAAGACTGGCAGGATTCTAATCTTGTACTCACACTGGGTTGTGAGCAGATTGAAGTAGTAGAGAAGTTTGTGTATCTAGGTAGCTATATAAGTGCTGGTGGTGGCGTGAGTGATGAGGTCGATTCACGTATAGTGAAAGCCAGAGAAGCTTATGTCAATCTGGGCCATCTTTGGGGCCTTTGTGATGCTAGTCTGGCTGTAAAAGGTCGGATCTACAACGCGTCGGTGAGAGCAGTTTCGCTCTATGCTCGTGAAACCTGGCCTCTTCCAGTTGAAGATGTTAGACGACTCTCTGTGTTTGAACATCGTTGTCTACGACGGACTGCTGACATCCAGTGGCAACACAATGTTAGTAATGCAGAAGCTTGGAATCGTGTGTACGGTCTCAGTGACGATAATTCAATTGATGTCACCATCTTGAAACATTGACTTCGGTGGCCTGGACATGTTCTGCGAATGTCGTCTCAGAGAATTCCTCATCGTGCATTATTTGTCGACTCTGGGACTAGTTGGATAAAGCGGAGAGGAGGTCAGTTTATGACATGGTGTCGTGGTATAAAAGAAGGCTGCACATGGCTGGCTTCTGTTAACCCTTCACGATTCCCTGGCTGAGGCCCGAGAGATGGTGCAAAACAGTGGCTAGAGATGTTATCAGATATGGCTCAGAATGTAAGCCAGTGGCGATCCTGCTGTAACCTTCTTTAACTTTCTTCATAAGGAGTGGTTAAAACTTTTTTAACTGAAAAAGTTCTTCCGGTTGTACCTTTTCGTTCCTCCCATTATTATTCTTATTATTGCACTAACATACACTAATCTGTAGTTGATACTGTTTTTTTTTCCTTATATGCACCTTACCCCCTATTTCTGTTTCCACTCTCATTATTGCGTGACGCATATATATCTGGTGCCGCCTTGTATCAATATTTATGTGCTCAAATAAGTAAATAAAATATGAAATAACCCAATTCTAAATATTACCATCTTCGCTTATCGATTGCATGACATTTTTTGAATGGTTTTGTGCATAGGTTCACGGATTCTGCAGTAGAGTGATAAATTAGTTAGGAGAACACTTGAAATTCAACCTTTGGACTAGTATAAGTATATGCTTAAATACACACTAAATTTTTCATTTCAAACGCAACGAAATTCCATACAAAATATATATTGAATTTAGTTGACTAATTTTGCACAACTCGTTAATTTGGCAAATTAGTTTGAATGCACAATTGTCCAAAAAACAAGAAGCAGGAGATAAAGGTGAAATTTGAGGAAAGCCAGTGTGAACATGGGCGACAATGCATCAAGATGTCACCAATTTCCCTACCCTACGACGGGCCCGTCGTAAATAGTACGCATTTTCTACTAAATTTACCAAGTGATGGTAAACGTCTCGAAATTACCAAGGAGATCAATCATTAGCATTTATCAATAATACGTAAATGACATCAATACAACTATATGCTCAAAAGGGGAGTATCAATACAAGAATTCAAACCAGTCATGAAGGTCACAACTCGAACTAGCGCCTGTGATAGTACATGCAGAGTTAGCCATTCTATTTCATTTGCCAGTAAATTACTATATTGCGGATTTTCAAGCATTATTCTGTTCAATAAATCAGTGCTGCATACAAAAACATGATTTTCACCAAGGATTTCATTTCAAACTAAAAAAACTCTTTTTACATCTGTCTATAAATGTGACGGTACAAAGTATTCTAAATTCGACGATGAAAATATCAAATCTAGCGAAATTAAGGACTTGTGATAAAATCCTCATTTCAAACAATCGACTAATACCCATCATTTATCGACTGAATTCAATGACAAGTATTGGAAATTCTTAATATCACACCCTTTGTGAATCGGAACCGATGCCTGACGAATCCATGGATACGAATTCAATTACCTCTGGTAAGATTTTCAAGCCACGCTGGGCAGAAATAGAGGGATTTTCATTCCTTAGATGCCGTGTCTTGATAGGAAAGGGGAGTTTTTAGCTAATGGGAAATATTATTCTAAAGATTCCACAGATATTCATAGTTCGACAACACTTATAAGTTACTATAAGTATTAGGAGTTCGACAACACCTTAACCGATAACACATTCCAAATTCGAAACGCGTCAACTCAGTGAAATCAGAAGCGAAGAGGCTTGAAGATATATTTGACAGAATATCTATCTATAAGTGACTGATCTGAGCTGGCTAGTGGTTGTGCAGCAGTGCTTGAGCCGAAATACTTGCGCAAAAATTCGTAGAGACCAAAAAGTGTGATAATGGCAGTCTTAGACATGACCTTGACAACCATAGGAATTTAGTTATATGCTTTACCCAAATTGACTTTCGAAAAAAGTTATACTTTTCAAGGTAACTGTCATATCGTGAATAAGAGGCAACGGGTAAGGATCAAGAATAGTCTTCGCATTCAATCGCCCATAGTCACCAGTTAGACCCCAGCTGTTGCTGTCATTTTTAGGGACTATGTGCAAGAGAGATACCCATCCATCATAACCCATTCTGCGAAGCTGACGAATTTGTTTCAGAACTCTAGGCAATTAAGTAAAAGTACTAGCTGACTGGCACCTGGAGAATCCACGATGTTGTAGTATTAGCTTATATGTTAAGCCCATATACTTTATTCTAGTTGCTGGCCAAGCCAATTCGCCTATCCATTATGAGTCATATTTTCATATTGTTCATCATTTGCTTATTAACAATGACCATACTTTTATATGAGCATATATGTGTACACTTCGTATCTTATTTATCATATGCCTGTCACTCATTTTTGTCCGACTATAAATGTTGATTAACGCTTGCTTAAATCGAGTTGGCTTCCCAGCCATCTCCAATATGCATTGTTCTCGCTTCGCTCTCGAGTTGGCTTCTCTGCCATCTCCACTGCATGTCATTTATGTTCTGCTCCCCTCTATTTACTTTATCGTTCTGATTCCCTGGCCAGATCAATGAGTTTAGGAAATATATGTATTCTAAATCCATTCTCGTATTTGACTTATTTAACTCCGTTGTTCACCAACGCCGAATAAAGTCATTTATTATATACGAGTATAGACAGAATCAGATTTACGCCGACAACAATGTAAATTAAAACAATATGAACACTGTTCGATCGTATAGCACATTCGATAGTGGTTTCCTTATACTGATAAAACATACTTTATAACAGTACGTATACAAACCCATGTCTTTTGATAAAATTCACATATATTCTTTGGCAGGTTCAGTACTCAAACAAGAAACCAAGCTTACTTAGTAGTCGGGAAAGCCGACCACTACGAGTACCGTCCGAGATATCTCTGTAGCAGTCAAAACTGACAAGATTGGTAAGACATAATGCTTACCTGTGTCTATTTATTTAGTCATTGTCACTCGGTTAGTCTAACCCGTATTGTAGTCAAATCGGTGGAAAAGGCTATTCATGATGCTGTATTTACATAGCGTTAAATTTAATTAATTAGGTATGTGGGCTAATAATACCACCCGGCCGTCCAAACCAAGAACTTAGTGGCTGAAAGTGGAACGCGCTACTAAGCCGCCACATTTAACGACCGAGCAAAATGGTCCCAAATAGTTACGTTGTATTTAACTCAAATAACTGCAAGAGACTGAACTGAAAGACAGACACATTCGAGTGACCTTTATGGATCTGAGTAGACCTTCGACATCTCATGTTTCAGATTAAAATCAAAAAGTTTAGAGATCAGTTCTAGAGTTACAGATTAAACTACTGACTTCCTCAATGTACGGGGGTAATGAGTGAGAGCAAACAGCAACTTTTGATCATGGGAATTAATGGAGTTCATTCCATCGAACAATGATTTATGCCCGCCTAGTGTTTTCTACTTTACGTAGATGATATACCTTAAGTCGCAGGATCCTCTACTTTATTTTTTGTAGATGGCTTCAAGTCTGAATACGTATACAGAATGTGACTGATAGGATTGGATTGCATGAATATCATTATGTACAACTCAAAGTATAACGGTGATCATTAGATTTAAGTTTTAAAAAGAGTATAAAAATGGAAATCAGTCATGGGGATAATTTACATTACAATAAAAGGAATGACACTACGTTAGATTATTGATTATGAAGGTTTAAGAGTAATAATTAACAGTGACTCCATAGCCTAAGACGGCTGCTTCCATAAGATTTCAGTTGTAATAGGCTGTTCATAAGTCATTTCCTACTCGGGATGAAGAAAGATTTAAGATATCATACCCGACGTATGCGAGGATGTGAGACTCAAGAAGCGAATTCGTGTTTCAATTATGAAAGAGTTTTGAAACGATTCAACAGTGAACGAAATAAATGGTGGAAGACCTTATTAGAGTACCTTAAGTAAATTGTCTAAAACGTCCCAACCCATTTCTGCTACCTTACAATAAACTGCAAGACTAATTTATGCTGATTTACTGTACAATGGACGATGATTTTAATGTGTTTTGTTTAATTCACATTTGCACGGGTCATATAAGAAATTATAATTAAGTTCAAAACCTAAGACCAAGCGATCAACATGTGAAGTTTTATCGTGTAATCGAGTTTTGGATGATTGGGGCTTTTTTTAACAGGATACATAGTATCAATACTTGTTAATTATATATATATTATTCGGTAGCCCGAAATACTTTTTATCACCCAATCTGTTGTACTCGCTGAAGAAGTCATGAGGATTGGGGCGCAGCAGGTATCAGTATCAGATTACGGACAGTACAAGTCATAACAGCATAAAATCTGCTGCACAACTTACCTTGCTAATTTTATCATCTCGCAGTACAGACATAACCTACCTACTTTAGATAATGTACAGTAACGTCGGATTTTGAAATCTGCTTGACTAACATTACTATCAAGCCTGATACACACAATGAATGTTCTACTTCAAAGTAGAATACTAAAAATTAAAATGAAACTGTATGATACTGTCATTCACTGTCATTTTTTTTCTTTTGAATGAGCACAAAACACCATGTACAAGAAAGATTTGGAAGTTACATAAAAAGAACTAACAACAGAAATTACTTTTTTCTGGAAGGGGTAGGATAACCAATGAGAACTAAACAGTCAATTAAACAATCATCATTAAGTTGGAAAGATAGCAGGGAATGAATGACAAAAAGAAAAATCATAGATGCTAAACTGCATACTCTATTTTTTATTTATTACACAGGAATGTAAGTCATAAAAACACAAATCACGCCTTGTTTACAAACAAATTCATGGGAAGATGTACATGTATAATTTAAATATTTAGTCTATATATATAGACTGTACATTGACATCAAACAAACTCATAAAGAAACATCAGCATTAAATAGTTTCTACATAGATGAAAATCAGCAATTCAAATTTATACAATAGCGAAAGCATCTGGACGATGTTTTGATTTTCTAGCTTAGAATTCATTTAAATGACTAAGCATCAATGAAAATGCGCATAGAAGCTCTGGCAAACAAAAATAAGAAAAAAAACGTAAATATAAAAATGCAGAATAGTATATAGTGGTACAACAATGAAATGAATTGCTTCAATTCCGTAAACAAAAAGTATTAACAAGATAAAATATAATAACCATAGAGTATTACGAGATATCGCAGCAGTGTGGATCTATGACCCAAGGCGAGCGCTTAACCTTATGAACACTGGAGCGAGATAGGGGATAAGGAGTTTAAAAAGTAGACCATGGTGAAAGCAAGCACTTGAACCGACTTGTCATTATTTTCAATGAGTGAACAAATTCCTACAGTACGTTTAAAGACGATGAAATTGTTTTTGTTGAGATGGCTTTCGAGAACTACGACGGGGCCTACAGCGGACCTAAAGGAGCCGAAGAGTTCTCATTCAATCAGAGCAGGATGGAGCTTTCTGGAATATCAATGTGGCATGCTACTATTGGACAGTAGCATAACATGCCTCTGCGGATTGTCTGAATTATAATGTTGATATAACAAACGCTAATATCTATACATACCAATGAGTTTCTGTACATTTTGATTATTATCCAACAAGCACTTCTCCGGTCTTCAAATTTGCGACTATGGCTATTCTATACGTTTGAGTGTCGTAGTTGTATACCGTATTCTGCGTAAATCAAGTAGCGAACATTACAGTTTTATAAGCTAAAATCGCTTCACTATTATATATATATATATATATATATATATATATATATATATATCAAAAAATGAGATGGTCAAGATATGAGTATAATCCACGCCTAGCCATATTACATGTGTGATTTCAAACAATGTAAGGATAAAAACTAATAGTACTTACTCTGACAAACAGTTGAAAATCTTTTAAACTACATTTTAATGCACTTGTGTAAGATTGGATTAATTCTGGAGATAATTGTTGTCGTGGCAGAAAGTAATCTTTTAAATATGTGTACAATCCATCCTGCATAAATTGTAGAAAGAAAAAGAACGATCATATTAGTTCGATCTGATTGATTATCGGATCAAAAGCGAAAAGTGAAGAATAGCAAATGAGTTTCATTTTGGGGCTTGGGAGTTTTTCTGACATTGAATAAATAAATAGACCATTAATG